GTGCATAATTAGATTTTATCTAAATACTAACAAAATATATCTAATTTACCAGTAAGCATGTGCATTTTAAAAATATATATTTAAAGCGATACTAAAGGTTCATTTTTTTTTAAAAATAACAAACAAGTCTATACTTACCTACAGTGTGCACTGGTTTTGCACAGAGCAGCTTGGATCCTCCTCTTCTCGGGTCCCCGGCGACGTTCCTGGTCCCTCCCTCCTGTCAGGTGCTCCCAAAGCAAGTAGCTTGCTATGGGGACACCCGCTACTTCATATGCCCATTCACACATGGAACCGTCCCTTGGCCCTGCCCCCTCTCTCTCCTCATTGGCTGACGGGCTATGATTGACAGCAGGGGGAGTCAATGGCTCAGCCAATAAGGAGGCAGAGACCTTGTACACATCGCTGGACCTCAATGAGGCTCAGGAAAGTATTGAGGGGGCTGGGGGCACTGCTGCACACAGAAGCTTTTTTGCCTTCATGCATAGAATGCATGAAGGTTAAAAAAAACGTTGAGTCTTTACAACCGCTTCAGATAACATTTTTCTAAAGCCATAATACTACCCAGTATAAGATTATTTCAAAATCACTAACATGTGGCTGATGCACCCCTGGTGTATTATCTCAGTCTGCAGAAAAATCAAACATAATTAACAGGCTATTCTTACATAATGTATTGGATGGGAGTTCGATTGGCTATAGATATGATTTTTTTCAGAACTTCATGAAAGCTTCATAAAAGCTCAACAAAACTTTAACAAATATTCAACAAATTGAATAACAACCCCAATGTTCTAGCTACATGACAGCAACTGACAATTGATAAGAGATGGTGAAAATTATTTGAACTTTTAAAAAATGTATTGTCTGCATTCAAAAAATATTATCAATACAAATGATAATTTAGAGTACAAGGGAGTGGCATCTAAAGATATCTGCTTCTAGGTAAAGCACAAAAAAAGAAACAATAATTGATCAGCTTTCAATAGTACATTTTGTATGAAATGATCTTCAACTAGTTGTAATTGTTTGTTAACTTACAGTTAATTTTAGAAAGACTATTAGTGAATATGTTAATTTTCTGAAAGACAGTATGATAAATGGCTTTCCTTGTTGTTGTGCTCTGAAGATAGTAACATTCAGATCACGTCCAGTTTTTATTTTTAAATTAGTGGGAAACGTTTTAAGTCCCACTGCAGGATACTTTCACAAAAATAGTAATCCCGAATTCTTACTGTTGTCCCTCTCTCTGCAGGAGGCACTGCAATGGATAATGGCTACTTTGGCGTACCTGCAGCTTCCCAAGCACCAGACTAAAAGAGAAGCTGTACAGTGTCAGGCTGAGAGAAAAGCTGTACTGAGAGAAGTTGCCCATCAGCTTAAATTGGGGATGGCTAAGCTTCAACAACATCAACATAATCAGACTCTTGATTCCACCAAGCACAGTTAAGCATTGTGACCTTGATACATATTTGCTATCCTTTAAAAAAAAAAGTGTCATCAATATCACTTGCCACAGGCTCAGTGGGACCATTATCTGATGCCAGGGCTGGGAGGCAAAGCCATAGAGGTCTATGTGGCATTACCACCTGAGAAAGGTGATGCTTATGAGGCCTTATCATAAATTATCAATTGAAACCAGAAGCATAACACAGGGAATTCAAGTTGCTGCAGAAAGGGCCAGCAGGTTTATTCCAGCATTCGACTAAATGACTGAAAAAATATTCCTATGAGTCCTTAGAAGACCTAATAATCAAGGATTAATTCCTATGCATCTGTTCAGCAGACGTTCAACAGTTCGTGTTGTAGCACAAGTCTTACATAGTTACATAGTTAGTCTGGCTGAAAAACGACAAAAGTCCATCCAGTACAATCATAAAAAAAACAGAAAAAAAAACAAGTTATAATCCTATACCCTTAGTTGATTCAGAGGAAGACAAAAAAACCCAGAAAAGAATGATCCAATTTGCTCCTGCAGCAGAAAAACTCCTTCCTGATCCCACGAGAGGAAATCTGATATTCCCTCTAGATCAACTTTACCTATAAATGTTCGTATCCAGTTATATTCTGTGTATCTAGGAAAGAATCCAGGCCTTTTTTAAAGCAATCCACTGAGCTTGCCAGAACCAACTCTTTAGGGAGTCTATTCCGCATTTTCACAGCTCTTACTGTGAAGAAACCTTTCTGTATTTGGAGATTAAATCTCTTTTCCTCCAGATGTAAAGAGTGCCCCCTTGTCCTCTGTGATGACTTCAGGGTGAATAACTCTACACCGAGTTCACTATATGAACCACTGATGTATTTATACATGTTGATCATATCCCCCTTCATCTCCTCTTCTCAAGAGAGAATACATTCAGTTCCTCTAATCTTTCCTCATAGCTGATCTCCTCCATGCCTCTTATCAGTTTGGTTGCCCTTCTCTCCACTTTCTCCACTACAGCGGGTATCGAGTCAACTGGCCTAATAGGATCATCAGGCTGGATCAGTTCATCAGGCTGAGTGGAGGCACCAGGCTGAGTAGAGGCACCAGGCTGAGTAGAGGCACCAGGCTGAGTAGAGGCACCAGGCTGAGTAGAGGCATCGGCTGAGTAGAGTAGGCATCCGGCTGAGTAGAGGCATCCGTCTGAGTAGAGGCATCCGTCTGAGTGGAGGCATCCGTCTGAGTGGAGGCACCAGGCTGAGTGGAGGCACCAGGCTGAGTGGAGGCACCAGGCTGAGTGGAGGCACCAGGCTGAGTGGAGGCACCAGGCTGGGTACAGGCACCAGGCTGAATAGAGGCATCAGGCTGAACCACGGAAGGCAGGTTCTCCGGTTTGGATACTGGCAGGATGGTATTGGTTGGAAAGAATTTTCGCTTTTTTCTGGTTTTAACTACTGGAGCACTGCAAGTAAACGCAGGTCTGCAAACGAATGGAGCAGCTGGAGACAGAGAAGAACTGGAGGATGGAACAGGAGAGGGAGCAGTTGCTACAGAGGGCTTTTTTACAGGTTAAAGGCAGGATAGGTGCAGCGAGTGGGAACAGGGTACTGACATGCGGTAGATAGCAGGGCAGGAGGAGCTGTTGGGAATGCAGGAATAGAGTTTTTGAGGAAATGGATTAGAAGCAGGACTGGGTCTTTGTAAGCTGACTGAGGCTGGGTGCAACAAGTCTGTCCATGTCTGCAGTATGGGTTGAACAAAGCTGAGCTTACACAAAGCCTGTCTGGTCAATGACTGCACTGCGTTTATACAATCTCTTAGTACCTGTGGTGAACATGTGGAATAACGCTCCAGAAAGTAACCCACATCATCCTCTAATAACCATACCAGGGACTCTACTGGTCAGCACTAAATGGTGGCAAAAATTCATCCCTGCATTCGGGGGTACCAGATGAAACCAACTCAGCACAAACCTCAATCAATGGCTGCACCTCAGAGAACTCTGTGCCCTGATCTACTAGAACATGAGCGAGCCGTATACATTCTAGCAGTTCATCCCGGGTATACTCCTTCAGAGTTTGATAAGCATACTCCCTGTCATCAAACACTAGCAGATATAAATACGCAACCTTATCCAGATCCATCCTTCCCATCAACAAACCAAGATGGCTTCCCTGTGCAGCCACTTCTGGTCAGGATTGGCCTTGGTGTAATGTCAGGGCTCCCGGGTATGACCAGAGGTGTGTGACTGACGCAGGGAAACGCAGACTTCAGATATGTTATAAACGATGTAATTTATTAACACTAACCATACAAACATAAACGCAGTGCAATACTAAAACATAACACAGTGCAAACAAACCAACCAACCACCCACAGATAACAGTACATACAATGCAAGCGTCGTCAGGCAGGCCGGGTCAATATCAGTCGGGCAGGTAGGTACAGGGAGAGCAAGCGGAGAATGGTCGGGGTCACAGGCCAGGTTCAGCAGGTAGCGGGCAGCGTGGTACAGAGGGTCAGGCAGAGGAGAATGGTCAGACAAGCCAGGGATCAGAGCAGGGTCAGCAGAGAATCAGACAGGAACAGAGAGCAGGAACAGGATACAGGGCCCAAGAGAAACACAACACCAAGGCCGAGTCTGCAGGTCTGAATGTCCCTTAAATACATCAGTATAATTAGTTCCAGGTGTTTGACTGGCTGCAAGGTTGAGTCTCTGATTGCTGGGAGCACCCGCTGGCCAGCCCTGGTACTGCAGCTCATAAGGCAGCTGAGTCCCACTATTGCTGGCCAGTCCATTCCTGACAGTACCCCCCCTCAAGGAGTGGCCTCAGGACGCTCCAAACAGTCCTAGCTGGGCAAAATGTTCCACCGCCCCGCCCGGGTCTGGTAACTGGCGGGATATCAAAGACTGGCACACCGGGCAGGACTCCGGGCAGCGGCACACCGGGCAGAGGCACATCGGGCAGGACTCCGGGCAGAGGCACATCGGGCTGGACTCCGGGCAGAGGCACATCGGGCTGGACTCCGGGCAGAGGCACATCGGGCTGGACTCCGGGCAGAGGCACATCGGGCTGGACTCCGGGCAGAGGCACATCGGGCTGGACTCCGGGCAGAGGCACATCGGGCAGGACTCCGGGCAGAGGCACATCGGGCAGGACTCCGGGCAGAGGCACATCGGATTACCAGGCGAAGCAGCAGGCAGCGGGCCACCTGGTGGAGCAGCAGGCAGCGGGCCCCCGGGCGGAGCAGCAGGCCGCGGGCCCCGGGGCGGAGCAGCAGGCAGCTGGCCCCCGGGCGGAGCAGCAGGCAGCTGGCCCCCGGGCGGAGCAGCAGGCAGCGGGCCCCCGGGCAGAAACGGCAGGCATCGGGCCCCCAGGCGGGGTGACAGGCATCGGGCCCCCGGGCGGGGCGACAGGCATCGGGCCCCCAGGCGGGGTGACAGGCATCGGGCCCCCAGGCGGGGCGGCAGGCATCGGGCCCCCAGGCGGAGCGGCGGGCGCCGGACCCCCAGGCGGAGCGACAGGTCTCGGGCCCTCAGGCGGAGCAGCGGGCGCCGGACCCCCAGATGGAGCGACAGGTCTCGGGCCCTCAGGCGGAACGGCGGGCGCCGGACCCTCAGGTGGAGCGACAGGTCTCGGGCCCTCAGGCGGAGCGGCGGGCGCCGGACCCCCAGGCGGAGCGACAGGTCTCGGGCCCTCAGGCGGAGCGGCGGGCGCCGGACCCCCAGGTGGAGCGACAGGTCTCGGGCCCTCAGGAGCGGAGCGACAGGTCTCAGGCCCCCAGGCGGGGCGGCGGGCGCCGGACCCCCAGGCGGAGCGGCAGGTCTCGGGCCCCCAGGCGAAGTGGCGGGCACCGAGTCACCAGGGCACGACAGTGGGCTCCGAGTCAACTGGCATGACCGCTGGCACTGGGTCAGACATTGGATCGTCTGACTGGACAGCGGGCATCGGGTCACCAGGCATCAAGTCATTTGGCTCGACAGCGAGCACCGCGTCATCTGGCAAGGCAGTGGGCTCCGAGTCAACTGGCATGACCGCGGGCACTGGGTCAGACATTGGATCGTCTGACTGGACAGCGGGCATCGGGTCACCAGGCATCAAGTCATTTGGCTCGACAGCGAGCACCGCGTCATCTGGCAAGGCAGTGGGCTCCGAGTCAACTGGCATGACCGCGGGCACTGGGGCAGACATTGAATCGTCTGGCTGGACAGCAGGCATCGGGTCACCAGGCATCAGGTCATTTGGCTCGACAGCGGGCACCGCGTCATCTGGCAAGGCAGTGGGCTCCGAGTCAACAGGCACGACAGTGGGCTCTGAGTCAATTGGCACGACAGCGGGCACCGGGTCATCCGGTACCGGATTGTCTGGCTCGACAGCGGGCATCGGGTCACCAGGTATGACAGCGGGCACTGGGTCACCAGGCATCAGGTCATTTGGCTTGCCAGCGGGCACCGCGTCATCTGGCAAGGCAGTGGGCACCGGGTCACCAGGCATTGGATCGTCTGGCTCGACAGCGGGCATCGGGTCACCAGGTATGACAGCGGGCACTGGGTCACCAGGCATCAGGTCATTTGGCTCGCCAGCGGGCACCGCGTCATCTGGCAAGGCAGTGGGCACCGAGTCACCAGGTACGACAGCGGGCTCTGAGTCAATTGGCACAACAGCGGGCACCGGGTCATCAGGTACCGGATTGTCTGGCTCAACCGCGGGTATCGGGTCACCAGGTATGACAGCGGGCACCGGGTCATCAGGTACCGGATTGTCTGGCTCGACAGCGGGCATCGGGTCACCAGGTATGACAGCGGGCACTGGGTCACCAGGCATCAGGTCATTTGGCTTGCCAGCGGGCACCGCGTCATCTGGCAAGGCAGTGGGCACCGGGTCACCAGGCATTGGATCGTCTGGCTCGACAGTGGGCATCGGGTCACCAGGTATGACAGCGGGCACTGGGTCACCAGGCATCAGGTCATTTGGCTCACCAGCGGGCACCGCGTCATCTGGCAAGGCAGTGGGCACCGAGTCACCAGGTATGACAGCGGGCTCTGAGTCAATTGGCACGACAGCGGGCACTGGATCAGGTACCGGATCGTCTGGATCAACAGCGGGTATCGAGTCAACTGGCCTAATAGGATCATCAGGCTGGATCAGTTCATCAGGCTGAGTGGAGGCACCAGGCTGAGTAGAGGCACCAGGCTGAGTAGAGGCACCAGGCTGAGAGGAGGCATCCGGCTGAGTAGAGGCATCCGTCTGAGTAGAGGCACCAAGCTGAGTAGAGGCACCAGGCTGAGTAGAGGCACCAGGCTGAGTGGAGGCACCAGGCTGGGTACAGGCACCAGGCTGAATAGAGGCATCAGGCTGAATGGCGGGTGCCGAGGCACCAGGCTGAACCACGGAAGGCAGGTTCTCCGGTTTGGATACTGGCAGGATGGTATTGGTTGGAAAGAATTTTTGCTTTTTTTCTGGTTTTAACTACTGGAGCACTGCAAGTAAACGCAGGTCTGCAAACGAATGGAGCAGCTGGAGACAGAGAAGAACTGGAGGATGGAACAGGAGAGGGAGCAGTTGCTACAGAGGGCTTTTTTACAGGGTTTAAAGGCAGGATAGGTGCAGCGAGTGGGAACAGGGTACTGACATGCGGTAGATAGCAGGGCAGGAGGAGCTGTTGGGAATGCAGGAATAGAGTTTTGAGGAAATGGATTAGAAGCAGGACTGGGTCTTTGTAAGCTGACTGAGGCTGGGTGCAACAAGTCTGTCCATGTCTGCAGTATGGGTTGAACAAAGCTGAGCTTACACAAAGCCTGTCTGGTCAATGACTGCACTGCGTTTATATATACAATCTCTTAGTACCTGTGGTGAACATGTGGAATAACGCTCCAGAAAGTAACCCACATCATCCTCTAATAACCATACCAGGGACTCTACCTGGTCAGCATTAAATGGTGGCAAAAATTCATCCCTGCATTCGGGGGTACCAGATGAAACCAACTCAGCACAAACCTCAATCAATGGCTGCACCTCAGAGAACTCTGTGCCCTGATCTACTAGAACATGAGCGAGCCGTATACATTCTAGCAGTTCATCCCGGGTATACTCCTTCAGAGTTTGATAAGCATACTCCCTGTCATCAAACACTAGCAGATATAAATACGCAACCTCATCCAGATCCATCCTTCCCATCAACAAACCAAGATGGCTTCCCTGTGCAGCCACTTCTGGTCAGGATTGGCCTTGGTGTAATGTCAGGGCTCCCGGGTATGACCAGAGGTGTGTGACTGACGCAGGGAAACGCAGACTTCAGATATGTTATAAACGATGTAATTTATTAACACTAACCATACAAACATAAACGCAGTGCAATACTAAAACATAACACAGTGCAAACAAACCAACCAACCACCCACAGATAACAGTACATACAATGCAAGCGTCGTCAGGCAGGCCGGGTCAATATCAGTCGGCAGGTAGGTACAGGGGGAGCAAGCGGAGAATGGTCGGGGTCACAGGCCAGGTTCAGCAGGTAGCGGGCAGCGTGGTAAGAGGGTCAGGCAGAGGAGAATGGTCAGACAAGCCAGGGATCAGAGCAGGGTCAGCAGAGAATCAGACAGGAACAGAGAGCAGGAACAGGATACAGGGCCCAAGAGAAACACAACACCAAGGCCGAGTCTGCAGGTCTGAATGTCCCTTAAATACATCAGTATAATTAGTTCCAGGTGTTTGACTGGCTGCAAGGTTGAGTCTCTGATTGCTGGGAGCACCCGCTGGCCAGCCCTGGTACTGCAGCTCATAAGGCAGCTGAGTCCCACTATTGCTGGCCAGTCCATTCCTGACAAGATACTTACAGAAACACATGGATATCTGACCACCAAAGGGCTCTCTCTAATGACTAGAAAAGAGGGAAATCACCCAGAATAACCCCTGCTACACCTGTTAGTCAAGTGACTTGCACATGGAACGCCTGGTAAAAAGTTGGTATCAGCTGACACCCACAGATGCCATGAAGTGCTGACCAGTGCTGCTGTGCTGCAGGATCCAGATTTTAGGCATCGGATTCTGGGTCAAACTGTTGCTTCTGTCTATGGCATATGCCAAGATTCTAGAAGGTGTGTCTTGTAATTACGTAGCTGCAAAAGCTGCAACAATGCCTATATAACTGCAGCTTCACAGTGATCACTGAACACTTCCCACTTAACTGAATAACCATGTTTCTGGGGACAACAGCAAGCTACTCTGTTGGAGCTTAATTCTCCAGCAATAAGATTTGACCATACAGCACGAGAATGGAAGTATCCACAACAATGTGCATAGACTGTAGAACCAACCAGCAGAACTTGGTCACATTGGAAAGCTGTACTGAACACAGTGCCACCCTAATTTTTCCAAAAAGGTCAAGGACAAAATCTTGTTTGTGCTGGAAAGGCAGAGACAGTGACACACTTTAACCACACACACACACACACACACACACACTGGAACACAACTCAGTCCATTACACGAATAGAACATCCTAAATCCCATTAAAACAACTCAAGCTAGAGCAGGATATCCTAAAATTTCTAGCAGCATCATGAACAGTACTTAACAGAGCCAGGAAAACTTCTCAATGCATCCTTGTCTAAATACGATATTGTACAGACCCTAATATGTGATTTTACAATACACATCTGTGGACTACAGTTAAAGTGTATCTAAAATCAAAAAATGAAAAAAATCCTTAGGCAAGTTTCCAATATAATGTGCATATTGCCAATATGTTCATTATTCTTATTTTAAGAGTTTGTGAAGAAAGTATCCAGTGATCCTGCTAGTTTTGTGATTAAGCCTACGTTCACACTAGCCTTGTGTGCAGGCGGCAGAGAGGCGTTTGGGAAGCGTTTTTACCGCTTCCCAAACGCCTCTGCCAACTCTGCACATTACAGCACATGGTGCTGTTCTAACAGGAGCGTTTGCGTCGCGTCGCGTTGCGTCGCGGCAAAACGGACACCTCTGGTCGAGTCAGGAGGCTTTGAAGCCTCCTATTCTCGTCTATGGTGCCGCTCCGCAAACGCCCGGCCGGCGTTTGCGGTGCGGTTGCGACGCGGTTGCGGGGCGTTTGCGAGCGGTAACACCACTCAAATGCATTATAGGCGTTTGTGGGGCGTTATTAACGCTCGGCAAATGCCTAGCAACCGCCGCTAAACCGCGCATGCGGCGTTTGCGGAGCGTTTGCCGAGCGTTAAAAACGCTCCGCAAACACCGGACCAACGCTTGCCAAACGCTATAGGGGCGTTTGGCAAGCGTTGACAAAACAGCCTAGTGTGAACGAGCCCTTAAACATACGTGGGGAAAATAATTATTTGATCCCCTGCAGATTTTGTAAATTTGCCCACTTACAAAGAAATGAAGGGTCTATAGTTTTTTTTTTTATCATAGTTGCATTTGAAATGATAGAGACAGAATATCAGCCAAAAATCCCCCCCAAAAAACCACATGATACAAATGTTATAAATTGAGTTGAAGTTCAGTGAGTAAAATAAGTATTTGATCCCCAAGCAACATGACTTAGTACTTGGTGGAGAAACCCTTGTTGGCAAGCACAGAGGTAAGATGTTTCTTGTAGTTGGTTACCAGATTTGCACACATCTCAGGAGAGATTTTGGTCCACTCTCCTTTACGGATCTTCTCTAAAGTTTCTCAGCTGTCGCTTAGCAACTCAAAGTTTCTGCTCCTTCTATACATTTGTTATATTTTTAAGGTCTGGATACTGGCTAGGCCACTCCATGACCTTAATGGGCTTCTTCTTGAGCCACTCCTTTGTTGCCTTGGCAGTATGTTTTGAGTCATTGTCATGCTGGAAGACCAGTCCACGACCCATATTCACCCGTGTTCTGGCTGAGGGAAGAAGGTTCTCATCCAAGAGTCTACAATATATGGTCCCATCCATTGGCCCCTCAATGCAGCAAAGTCGGCCTGTACTTGTAGCAGAAAAACAGTCCCAAAGCATAAGGTTTCCACCTCTGTGCTTGACTGTATGGATGGTGTTCTTAGGGTCGTAGTCAGCATATTTCTTCTTCCAAACATGGCGAGTTGAGTTAATGCCAAAGAACTCAATTTTGGTGTCATCTGACCACAGCACTTTCTCCCAATCCTTCTCTGAATCATTTAGATGTTCAT